AGAACATACTGCAACAGATCGAATGCAGAAGTAGAAATGATAATCCGGCTTGCTTATATTAAGCCAGACATTGAGATTTGCATATAATGAAATAGTACCATTCATTTTATCTTGGAAATTGATTATTTTTCATAAAAAATAGTTATATTAACATGTATTATTTAAAAATGCTTAATATATTTCATTGTTCTTAGTTTTAATTTTGGATATAGTAGGTATTGATAGATATAACTCATATAAACAAAAGCTCTTTGGGATCCCAAAACCAAGAAGTTTGAGAATGACTGTGCTACAGTCTCTGGTATATTTTTTAGTCACAAGAAAAGCTAATAACCTGAATAAATTGTTTACCTTAATGAGTGAGCCTCTCTCACACAAAGCAATCTTATTTAGCATTTTCCCCCCAAGGCTAAATGCTGTTGACAATACTAAATATATTATTTTAATTGACTGTATGCTAAATGTAGTGCACATGACAAAATTGCTATAATGAAAATATTAATAGAAATTTGAGAATGAGAAGTGTTTTTGTGGACTATGAGTCTTTGTGCCTGGGCATTTATATTATGAAAAGTATAGCATAAGTGATAAAGAATGACAATTATCAGCTTTCTTCAACCAAAAATTCTTAGAATATCTTTAATGCTTTCAGAGATTAGCATCAAAAAACATTAATATAAGAGAGCACAAGGAATTAGCCATTATCAAATTATCTATGTCACTCTGAGTTCTTGAAATACTGTGACATATTGAAAAAATCCTTCAGATATTATGAAAGGAGAAAATTATAAGTCCTGTCCGTTCTTTAATGGAGAAACAAAACTATACAATATTCGTTTATTTGCCCTAAGTTTCCTTAAGCCTTGTACTTTCTGATTTAGCTTTGGCTAGCAGAATCATGCTTGAATCTTAAGACTGTCGGTTTTCAATAGGCAGTTGCTAGTGAAACTCTTCTCAGAAGATGAGAGGATGTTAACATAAGTGTAATGTGAGGCAAAACAGAGTAAAATGTAGTTTTAAGAAAAAGCTGGTAAAAATGAAGTCTAACAATATTTGCAAGAATATAAATCTTAACCCATTTGTTGAGAGTATAGGCTCTGTTTATGTCTGCCTGTATCTTGTAACCACAAAATTGTCCTAGCTGAATAATTGTAAGGAATCTCCTTTAGTACATCCAGACTTCCAAAATTTGTTTACATACTAATTGGTTGTCATAGAAAGCTGCATTCAACCCAGGGTCAGCGATGCCTTTTGTATATAAAATGCCTCTCCCTTTGACACTTACTGAATTAACAAGTGTCTGTATAGCAGATTCGTTGCTTTAAAAAAACACAAGACTTTTTCTACAATGCTGAACTTATGTGGCATATATGCTCTTTAATTCTGCTCAAGTTTTCAAAACTAATAAAAAATGCAATTCAAAACCATTAATCATCAAGACATAGACTGAGTGTCTGAGGTTGTGAACAGTGCAGGGCCAGATACTTAGGAGGTAAAGGCTCTTGACATTGCAGAGATTGCAAATATTTTTCTCATTCCTAAATTTCCTAGAAATAAGTGGAGATTTGTGTAAGGGAATAAATGCTTTTGTAAAAAATGTATTAATATGAAAGCTGCTTTATTCTTTAAACTATACATACTGTTTTCCACCCCTATATAATCCTTACTTTTCCCAAATCTCTCCCACCCCACCTTCAACAGAAATCTTAATCTGGCATCTGATGATTTAAAATGGTTTCCATAATCTAATTTTGAATAACATCCATTTTAAAGCATACAGAATCAGTTAAGAAGTATAAACATTTGTTGAAATGTTTATTGAACAAACATAGTCCATTTGTTTGACAAAAGATATGCATACTAACTTTCTCTACAAGCAGCTAATGGGAAAATCTTAGGTAACTCTATAGTTTTAAAACATCTGTGCGTGAAAGATAATCATGGTTGGTGTTTATGGAACATCTTTTGGGGGGAAAAACCCAACAACAAACTGAGATCCAGACTGAAAAAATCATCAGGTAAAATGGCAGGAAGCAAACAACTTATTTTATTTGAATTTCATTTCCTGGGAGAAAAACTGGTATTGCAGAATCATTTAATAAAAACTTAACAGTTTTACTGGAGATTCAGATATGCATTGACATGTACATGACAATCTTTAGATTGAAATCATAAAAAAAAATCATTGTCTCCAGGGAATTATGTGTTTCACAAATTTTGCTATTTTAAATAACACTTATCACATAGACACTGAGATCAGACCATGCCAGAGCAATTTTACCATTTGTACATGTATGTGGGTATTAATGATCTTTATTGCCTGGACAGATTCCAGGTCACAGAACAAAAGCAAATTTTCACTTTTGTGTGTTTTCAATACATTTATATGTCTAGCTCCTTTTGAGTAAGATACATCTGCTCAAATAATTACTACTCGTGGATATTATTCCCTCCAGCCAAACAAGTATCTACTTGACCATATCTTAACCATATTCTAGGGGAAAAAAAGAACCAAAGAAATGATTTAATAATTGTAATCTAATTTCCTAGAGAGTCTTAGAATCTCTACTTCTGAATACTATCCACATACTGCTATTATATATTTTTCTTAGAACTTTTCTTACAACTTCAGTTCTCTCTTAGGAATGTCTTTAGTTAGGGGTACAAAATCTTACAAAGAAACATTTAATAAAGGATGTTAACATCTAAGCAAAAGATGCTTGCTTCTCTTCCCACAAAAGCCAAACATAAAACAAAGAGTGTTACTAATGTTTTCTATTTATTCATTAATAAAAAGTGCATAGTACAAGCCCTTTATCCCAATCCAAGTACTCAGTAAAAGATTAACAATAAACCCTGGATGGCACAGACATGATTTGTTTGGCATAATTTAAAATATAAAAACAGCAATTAACATTAGTATATCACATGACCACTTTTGCTTTTAACAAAGTAATCTTCAGACATGGTAACAAATACATACGATTTTTTCATTTTGAAATATTATAAGACTAAGCTTACTATTGCAACAACAAAAATTTAATCCATTAGCTGTAAACTCTCTTCATTTTTCCTTCTTCCGGTTGCTGTTTTGTCTTAAACTGAGCTGTTCAAATTTGAGCACATACTCATTTGAGTGACAGACTTTCATTTAGAGTGACAGATTTCCCAGGTTCCTTTGAAAATTTAAGATATTAGTAATTCCATAAACACTATCACATCACATACCACAAGGATGCTAAAAGTAGCCATGGAATAGCTGTATTCAACAGTTATTTCAGAAAAATATCTTCAAGTTACACTGACTATGGGATAGTGCTTGGACAGATAACATGATAAATCTTTTACTATGAACACTTCCAATGTTAACCTTTTCCATATGGAAAACAAAATCAAAAAACAAACAAACAAAAAAACCCACCATTATTTTACATAAAAGAATATTAAATGACTCTAAAACAAAATAAACTTTTTTTTTTTGAGACAGAGTCTCACTGTGTTGGCCGGGCTAGAGTGCCGTGGTGTCAGCCTAGCTCACAGCAACCTCCGACTCCTGGGCTCAAGCAATCCTCCTGCCTCAGCCTCCCAAGTAGCTGGAGTAGCTGGAACTACAGGCACATGCCACCATGCCTGGCTAATTTTTTCTACATATTTTTAGTTGGCCAATTAATTCAAAATAAACTCTTAATGGCATTTGTGGAATGTTTAAGAGCCAAAAGTGTTGAAAATTTAAGCTTTATCTTCCTTTTCTCCAGATTATTTTTTAAAAATTGTAGCCACAGTTTGGGTGAATATTTACAAGCCAAGTAATGATTTAAGAGTGTACTCAATAAAAAGGCCACATGTAGACACTTTAATTAAATAGAATAATATAAATTACTAGTCAGGTTAACAAGAATACTTTATGTGCAGTGCACTATTCTCAGGAATGCAGAGAAATTTTACAAGCAAAAAAACTCAAGACTAAATACTTCGCTAAGAACATTTGTTACTAACTAAATGGTCCATATAGGAAAAGGCTAATATATGTCAATTAAGTGTATGTGTCAGAAAGAACCAGGAATAAGAATTTTGATGTTCAAGTATCTAATACTAGACATTCTATATCCATGTTTTGGCCACTTCTTCAACCAAAGCCATTCTCAATTTATTTGTGAGCCACAGATTTCAATGGCTACATCAGTATCTCCACCAGGGATTGGCTTTCTAGCAGCTCAGAGAACAATAGGTTATGAAGATATATGGGTAAGCCTTCGAAGTTCAAGGGGCAAGGGCAGAAAACAGAATGCTATAGGGATTTAGCGCCATCTAAATCTAGCCCTTTCTGGCCCTTTCTGCTTTAAGTACTTTACCAGCTATGGAGCTAAGAGGCCTTCCAGGCCACAGCAGAAGGGGAAACCTTTACTATGTGGTATTCGTTTAGCCAGGATTTAACTTACCTGTGATATGTTACCCCTCTATTAGCACAAATAATTAAGAGTTGTTTATATTAATATTATTTCAAAAAGTTGAGCACAAAGCCAAGATGCACAAGGAGAAATTCAAGCAGTCAATATTGGATTATATACTGAAATGATGCTCTTAACAATGTTTGTGGCCTAGAATGCAATCACAATAAAGGGAAAATATAGCCTATGAGTGTCACACCATTGTATCAGAGACTATTATAGTACAGTGATACAAAGAAGTTTGTTTAATTCATACAATTTATCAGACTACACAGTGAAAAGCTAGACTTAAGGGAAAAAGATCCTTACATTGGTAGCAAAATATCTTTTAGTTCCCAAAAATCATCTGCAATCACTTGCTAGGAAAAAATTCTATAACCACATAGGTCACGCAGACTTTTAAAATGCTATTTGTATTCACTTTTTGTCAAACCAAGCAAAACAATGCAAGTTTTACTTTTTTATACACTTGAAAATTTTGCTTATATTATTAATGCTCCTTCTCACGCCAATCCATCCCATTACTAAACAGGAATGATATAAGGATCCTTGCTTGTTTCTCATTTTCCTCCTTTTCCCTTGGAATAAACCGAGAATTCATTAAAAATTTTTATAAGTCAAAAGGATAACAAAAGCCTCAAAATTTTTCTTCAAATAAAAAAATGAAGTAAATAGGCTTTCAAATGTCAGTAACCTAACAGGCCCTAATGCAGCTTTAAGACAGTTTCATTTTAACAATGAAGTGTTAGAACAGAAAAGCAGCTTCCCAAGAGGCACTCATTTTAAAAATAAATTATAGCTTAAATTATTACTGTATAGATTATATTGGGCAAAGTCAGAAAGAATTAATTTTTTCCTCCTCTCATAAACGTTGTAAGGCTAGTGTACAGTGGCTTACAAATGTCAGATAATGGACTGTAAATCATCCACCGTATTGATCAATCATGTTTATTTAAAGTTTTCATTACATTAGACATTTTTAATAGGAGTAGAAAAATTAGTAAAAACCATTTCATTTCTTCTCTCCTCCTAAGCCACACAGGCCAGTTATAATAGATGATACAGATTTCAGCTGTAATTTGTAAAATATTCCAAGAGCTGCCACAGTCCCAAGAAATAGAGAAAACTGTCATCCACAAATAAACTACCAAGGAAAATGTAAATACAGTGTGGTTCTAATTTTCTTTCATACAATCTCAGACAACTCCAAATAGCTTTATAAATACCGTATTTATAAAAAGCAATTAAAAAACCTATCAAAACTATTTAAAATATTTAAATGTAGAGCTCTCAAATTTCCTTCTATCAAGCCAGAAATCATCACAAAAATTATGATCACAGTTATAAACAGAAAGAGTGGAATGTTGAAGTTTAGGACAACCAAAAAAGCCCCATGTAACTTTTTTTAATATAATCATTTACTCAAATACACTGTAAATAGGAATGGTGATAACACAGGAAGCAAAAATAAGCTTGCGAATGAAATTTCTAGAAGCTCATGAAAACAATACCATCCCATATTGCAGATGCAAAAGGAAAAACATTTCTAATGGGGTTAAGAGTACTCTGGTATTCTTGGTTCGCCTGGTCGTTTGGTCGTGCAAGGTGTTAACTATTTTCACTTCCAATACACAAAGTTAGTCCACAGGAGGAGCTGGTGGGTCCTGCCCCTGGCATTGGAAAGAAAGAAATTACTTAATTGACTTCTTAAATCCCAGTGCAACAATCTAACACATATAGTAAGAAATGAGCAATAATGTGCTCCACCCTCCCTTCCCAACTATATACTGACTTGGACTTTTTATACCTTTTTTACACAAGGGAACACTAGATAAACTGTGATTCTCCTTTGTCTCATTATTTCGTATAGTATGAAAGAAGGGGAATTTGGGTAACAGTGATGTGATGTTCCCTACCAGCTCCAGGGGTTATCTTCAAATCAATAAAGGTATTTTCATTCCCCCTTTTAAAGTGATTGGTTGAGCAAAGTACTACTGTACATTCAAAGTGAAGCTAGGTACTTTTGTTTCTTACTGAAGAATGTCAATGAGGAATCATGTGGCTCCACTTGCTTCTGGCAGTTATCCTATGACCCTAAGGGGAGCCCACCTTGGAATGAAGCTTGATGGTATGAGGAAAAAAACTAGGTCTTTGATGACACTGTTCAACTTCCTAATCACTGACCCTACCTTTGGATGTTTTTGATGTGCCAACCAATAAAGCCACTTGTTTCAAACCAGTTTGAATTGGCTTTTGTCACTTGCAATAGAGAGCATGTGAACTGTAAAGGAAGGATCAGAATGTTTAGGAATCTTCAGGAAGATTTTATTTATTTACCCCGACATAACATTTGAAGGCCCTAGTTGAAGGTGATCAATATTTCTAATGAGCATTAGAGTCACTATGTTTTCCTGCTTATTCCTAGGACAGTGGAACTGCTGTTCCTAGAACTGTTGGCCTAACATGAATCAAGGTCCAGGGGAGTTCAATATTTCTGTCACTTTTAATGGCTTCTAAGTCAGATTATTATTTTTTTTTAACTATTCAACGCATAGTATATTATTATTTTTGTTCTTTGTTTTGTTTTGTTTTTTGAGACAGGGTCTTGCTCTATTGCCTGGGTTAGACTGCAGTGGTGTCAGCCTAGCTCACTGTTAACCTCAAATACCTGGGCTTCAGTGATCCTCCCACCTCAGCCTCCCAAGTATCTAGGACTATAGATGTGTACCAACATCTCTGGCTAATTTTTCCATTTTTATAGAGATGGGGGTTGCTCCCACTGGTCTCGAACTTTTGGCCTCAAGCAATCCTCCCACCTCAGCCTCCTAAAGTGGTAGGATTACAGGCCTGAGCCACCGCACCCAGCCTTATTATTATTTTTTTTAGAGATAAGGATCTTGCTCTGTTATCTCACTCAGGCTGGAGTGCAGAGGTGTGATCACAGCTCACTCTAACCTCCAACTCCTGAGCTCAAACAATCCTCCTGAGTAGCTGGGACTAGCTGGGATTACAGGCATGCGACACCACACCTGGCTAAGTCAGGTTATTAAAAGTTGAATTTCTTTAGCTCCAAATATTAAAGAAGTTGTTCTTTGATATGAAACTAATAAAGCTGTACATGGAAAGTAAGAAAATGGCCGAGATCAGTGGCTCATGCCTGTAATCCTAGCACTCTGGGAGGCCGAGGTGGGTGGATTGTTTGAGCTCAGGAGTTCAAAAACAGCCTGAGCAAGAGCGAGACCCCATCTCTACTAAAAAAAGAAAGAAATTAATTGTCCAACTAAAAATATATAGAAAAAAATTAGCTAGGCATAGCGGCATATGCCTGTAGTCCCAGGTACTCAGGAGGCTGAGGCAGGAGGATCGCTTGAGCCGAGGAGTTGGAGGTTGCTGTGAGCTAGGCTGACACCATGGCACTCTAGCCCGGGCAACAGAGTGAGACTCTGCTTAAAAAAAAAAAAAAAAAAAAAAAAGGAAAAGAAAATCCCCCCAAAAACGAATAATTCCTACTTCTCCTTTTGCCAGTTCAGCTGATTTCTTATGATGCAGAAATGAAAAATGGGTTCACATGTCCCAAAAGTTGAAAAGAGAATTTTATGTGAAAAAATAAAATAATAATAATAAAAAAAAGAAATGGAAAATGGGTTTGAAAGAAACAGGATGGGAAAACAAGAAGAAAAAAGGACTTAGCCAGATAGGCTCAGTGCTTCAATTGTATTTAATAGCGAGGACAGAAGGGGATAAAAGCTAGCAAGAGTGCACAGGCCTCAATCACTGTGAGTTGCAGAGAACTGGGCACTGCAGGACTGACATTTGAGCAATATTGCTGTGGATTATGAAACAGATCACTTCTGATGTTTCTCATGGGAGTAAGGATTGGAATTCATTTTAAAATTATTTTGGGGCTACTAGTGTATGCCTATTTCTATATATAACTCCACAAATATTAAGTCATCTGGCATTGCAAGATTTCCTATATTGACAGGAAGAACTTACTCCATGAGTTTAATGTTCCTCTTGCCAATTTTGATTATTTCAGTCAAAACAAAGTCCTCTCCCTCCCCAGGCCATATACATGCTCCTACCCAAAAAGGATTTATGGTCTACAACACTTACATTATTAGCACTGGTTGGCTTTCCAGATAGGATGGATCCTCTTAGATTAGGAGGTCTCAGTAAGAATAAGATCACTGCAATAACCATCCAGGCCATCAAGATCATAGTAACACTGATGCCATTATCACCAGAGGGTCCTGGTACTACAAACAAAAAATATGTTTATAACAAAAATTGTAACATGACTATAATACTGTTAAACATAAAAAAATTCTAATGTTTAAATTTCAGCTTCAAAAATTATAATATAAAAATCAATAAATTAGAGAAGTACAATTGTGAAGTAGTACATCCTCAACTTTCCTTTCCTCCAGTGAGAAAATCTAAATGGTAAATGATGTTAAATAATCATAAACCAAAGCCTAATAAATGAAGATTTTAATAGTATAATAGCTCTTAATATTTTGGAATAACAGAATCTTTTGAGAATCTAATAAAAATTAAGAACGCTTTCTAGTATAAGAATCCACATATATGCATTCAACAATTTTGCATATAATTCTGGAAGGTTCAAGGACCCATAAAGCCACCAATATCTGCTGGGATCTACAGAAACCAGGTTAAGACTACCTGATATACAGTAAAAACATTCTGCTTTGGGGAGAAAAATATCTGCATCTTAATTATAGAGGCAGCATGAAAAAACAGGGCCTTAAGAAAAAAGGAACATCTGGGTTGAATAACATATAAATTAAAAGACCCCTTTAATTATATTCTCGGCCAAAGAAGAATTAATTTGGCCTTCTTTTACATGAAAAGAAGTTGATTTCAGATCTAGATATTTTATTTTATTTTTTTATTTTTTGAGACAGAGTCTCACTCTGTTGCCCAGGCTAGAGTGAGTGCTGTGGCATCAGCCTAGCTCACAGCAACCTCAATCTCCTGGGCTCAAGCAATCCTGCTGCCTCAGCCTCCCAAGTAGCTGGGACTACAGGCATGCACCACCATGCCCTGCTAGTTTTTTCTATATATATTAGTTGGCCAATTAATTCCTTTCTATTTATAGTAGAGACGGGTCTTGCTGTTGCTCAGGTTGGTTTCGAACTCCTGACCACGAGCAATCCGCCCGCCTCGGCCTCCCAGAGTGCTAGGATTATAGGCGTGAGCCATAGATCTAGATATTTTAAAAGTCTATGCATTTATCAAAAGAAAAAAATCAGATAAGGCTGCGTGTGTGTGTGTGTGTGTGTGTGTGTGTGTGTGTGTGTGTATGTATCTTAGTCTTTCCTGACTCTTTGAGGTAGCCATAAATACTTCTTACTTAATTTAAGGGTAACAAGTGCTTGGCCTATGGCATGAGGTTAACACATTTTGAAAAAATAAAATGTAGATTTTTTTTCACTGAAGTGTATTAGAAAACTCAATTTTCAGAAATAAAAATTACAGGTTGGATTTCTAGAGGAAAACATAGTTACTACTCTAGGCAGTTACTAAAATAGCTTGTCAAGACTACAACTGTTTGGTTTTGGTCTCCCTGCAACAGGACAAAGTAAAAGAAATCCAGATAAGATGTTGAAATTAAGCTGATACGCTGCATTGGGGTCCGTGGGCCCAGGGCTCAGTTCCAAGAAAGGGGATCCGTAGCACTGCTGAGGCCAAAGGGCTAGTGACCAAAGGGGACAAAGTGAAGTTAAGAGCTGAGCTGGCCCAAGAGAAGACTAAATAGGAATGTAGCCTCTGTTGCAACCCTAGTCACACTTCCCTAACACAGTACTCAGGGTTACCAAAATTGTATTACATATCACACACTGCATCAGCATCCATTTGTTCTATATCCATATAGCCATTCCTTTCCTTGATCCTTCCTGTTACACTAAATTTGCCCACCTTCATAACTAAGACCAGTTTCTCTACTTTGAACCCCTTGCTCTTGCACAGCTCTATCCATCCTCCTCTCTCCTGTTACATTCTACAACTTCTTCTCCATTGGAGTAATCTCATAATTATCTAAACTTAATCAAGTTTCTCCCATCTTTAAAAAAACAAAAAATGTCCTCCCTTACTCAATCCCTTTTCCCGTCTAGCTATCACCCTGTCTTCCTCCTCAAAGCTAACACTATCAGAGTTACTATGCACTGTCTGCATTTACTACCTACATTTTACTACCTCCCATTCACTCCTCAGGTTGGTTTCTACCTCCATAATCATTCAAATATCTCTTGGTCAGGTGCAGAGGCTCACGCCTGTAATCCTAGCACTCTGGGAGGCCGAGGCAGAATGATGGCTCAAGGTCAGGAGTTCGAGAGCAGCCTGAGCAAAAGTGAGACCCCATCTCTACTAAAACTAGAAAGAAATTAGCTGGACAACAAAAAATATACATAGAAAAAAATCACCCGGGCATGATGGTGTATGCTTGTAGTCCCAGCTACTCAGGAGGCTGAGGCAGAATGATCACTTGAGCCCAGGAGTTTGAGGTAGGCTGTCGCCACGGCACTCTAGCCCTGGCAACAGAGCCAGACTCTGTCTCAAAAAAAAACCAACAACAAATATCTCTTGAAAACGTCACCAGTAACACCTTCATTCTGCTAAATTTAACAGGTAATTTTTACTGTAGCCTGGGCAACAAAGTGACACTCTGTCTAAAAAAAAACTAAACTATAACAGGTAATTTTTAGTCCTCATTATTTTCTCTTTTTTTGAGACAGGGTCTCTCTCTCTCTCTCTCTCACCCTGGCTAGAGTACAGTGGCGTCATCCTACCTCACAGCAACCTCAGCCTCCCGAGTGGGACTCCAGGCACATACCACCACACCTGGCTAATTTTTCTGATTTTTGTACAGACAGTATCTTGCTCTTGCTCAGGCTGATCTCAAACTCCTGGACTCAAGCGATCCTCCTCCCTCAGTCTCCCAGAGTGCTAGGATTACAGACTTAGGCCACGGTGCCTAACCCATTTTCTCCTTTATAAAATACTTTCTTCTTTGGTCTTCTGTGCCATTATCATTGCCTGGCTGCTCCTTTACATGCTTATTTTCCTCTTCTTGGCTTTAAAATTTTGGAATTCCTCATAGTCAGTTTAAAGTTCCCTTCTCTTCTTGTTCTATATATTCTTCTCCTCATCTCTGGATTCATTTACCTTCTGTATGCAAAGCACCCCTCTTATACTCAGCCACATCCAAATTTTCTGAACTTCAGACCCAAACATCTGCCTGTCTACCTACATCAATAATTCTCTATTTTTTCTTTACATCAACGGTTCTTAAACTGTGGTGTACATTAGAGTCACTTGGCAGCTTCTTCCCACCTCCCACTTGCCATACTCAATACGTCAGTATTATAAACAAAATCATAAGCATATCCCATGCCCTACTACTCTTCTCGATCCCCACCAAACACTAGTTGCTCAGGGCAGGACCCTAAAAGAACATCTTTTGTTCTCTTTCAATAATTCTATTTAATCTATCATGAGGTTTCTGGCAAATTTTCCTCTTAGTATCATTTAACTCTGTCCACTTGTAGCTCTGCCCTCCCACTGCCAGTTGCTCAAGCTACCATCACTTCTTGTCCTGTCTGTTGCAATGGCCTCTTAACTGACCTCCGCATATCAACTCCTGCCTCCTCTGTCCTCTGCATTGTTGTCAAAGTGACTTTTTTAACAGCAAACATAGGTTGAATATCCCTTATCCGAAATGCTTAGGACCAGAAGTGTTTCAGATTTTTTTCAGATTTTGAAATATTTGCATTATACATACTGGTTCAGCACCCCTAATGAGAAAATCCAAGATGTGAAATGTTTCAATCCTTTGCATCATGTTGGCACTCAAAAAGTTCCAGATTTTGGAGCACTTCTGATTTTCAGATTAGAGATACTCAACCTGTACTATTATTTTTATTATTAAATATTAGCTAAGAGTTGAGTGGTTACTTTGAACCAGACATTACCTCTCTTAATCCTTTTAATAATCCTACTTTATGGTAGATACTATCATGTCGTCATTTTATAGATGAGGAAACTGGGAGGAGGGGGATTAATCCCAGTGTCATACAGCTGGTATGTGGCAAAAGTGGGGTGTAATTCCAGTTAGTCTCATTTCAGAGCCTTCTTAACCCTTTGCTGTGTCATGATCTCTGACACCACACAGTAAGACACACTCCTGAAAATTATTACTATTTTTTAATTATCTTTTCTTTTTATTATACTTATTTTTTTCTCTTTTTTTGGACACATTTCATACACAGCTGGTGCACTAAAAATTATTAATATTAGTCCTGTGGGCAGTAAAATCAGAAAGCACAGATTCAAAAAGGAGTTTTGATAAAAAAGCTTATAACTGATTAAACTAGATTATTTACAGTTAATCAAGGAAAGATGACTATACCTTCCATATATTATCACTTCTTATACTGTCTCTCTCAGAAATAAAATGCTAAATTGTAGTATAGACCAGAAGTCTAACTCCAGTGCCAATTCTTATGTTATTCAATTTGGAGATTGAGGATTTTGTTGTTTTTTCAGAGACAGGGTCTCACTCTGTCACCCAGGCTAGAAGGCAGTGGCACAATCATAGCTCACTGTAACTTCAAACTATTAGACTTGAGCGATCCTCCCTCCTCAGCCTCCCAAGGAGCTGGGACTACAGGTGTCCACCACCACATGTGGCTAATTTTTTTTTAAAAGTTTTTGTAGTTGAACTCCTGGCCTCAGGCAATCCTCCCACCTCTGCCTCCCAAAGCACTGGGATTACAAGTATGAGCCACTGTGCCTGGTTCCTTGTTTTTTTAATATTCTTTACAAGTAAAAGATTCTGAAGCTTCCGAGAGTTAACCTTAGATTCCAAATTTACTAATTCATATCTCTAAACAAAGCATCCCTGGAAAAAAAAAAATGCTTACTCCATTTTAAGACTCTCATAGTGATCATTTCTCACTTTTAGGCATATGTGGAGAAATAAAAAAAAAAAAAAAAAAGACTCTCATAGTGATAATATGACTCTTAATTCCCCGTAACTATCTCCTACCTTGGTTCCTATTGCAGCCTTTCCTTCTTGCATTTTACTTCCAGAAAAGTCTGCTTAAAACACTGCTTTTAACACATCTCTGCTGATAAACCTAAGTGACTCTCTTTCCACTGCCTTCTGCTTCAACCCTGAACTCTTTAGCCTGGCCTCTCCTCATAGGATTTGGCCCTCTTCATCTAATTTTAC